GGGGGGCAGGGGGGCCAAGCCTCCAGCCCGGGGCCCCGGAGTCCCCGGGGTCCCCGAGCGCCAGCACCAGCCCCAGCGCCCACACCCAGCACGAGGCCGGGTCCCCAGACCCTGCCCGCTCCTTCTGCCTGTAGCACCGTGGCCCGGGGCCGCTTCTCGACACAGCGAGGGAGCCTTTTCCAGGGCACTCTGGATGCCAAGCCGCCTGTGGATGCCCAGCCCTGCTCGTCGTCAGTCCCGGGGTGCTCAGCAGGCGGAGCGCTGGGGATGCGATCACCCCACGGGGAGGCACAGCCCCACTGCCAGCGGAGTCTCCCTTGCCCGCCCGCACCAGTGCACAGGCACAGGGGCTACGCTGTGTCCCCCCTGCACCTCACCAACACCCCGGGGCGACCCTCTGGCCAGGAGCCTTCATCCGGAGGCTCCGTCAGCGCCATTGGTCCCTCTGCCAGTGTCTGTGTGCGTGTGCGTGCGTGCATGCGTGTGTGCCGGCGGCGGGCAGCTATACCCTGGTGGTGGAGTGTGAGTGCGGGAGCCCCGTGCTGTTGAAGCCGGCGGTGAAAGTGTTGTAGGGGTGCAGGGTCTGCAGCCCCACCAGCGAGTTGGGGATCATGGTGATGGTGTTGGGGGTCATGAGCGGGATGTCGTCCGGAGAGCGGCGCAAGGTGAGGGTGTAGTCGGGCAGAGCGGCCAGGCGCAGGGCATCATGAGGTGGCACAGCCTCGCACTCGTGGTGCCCCTGGCTCACCTGCAAGGAGGGCATCTCCTCGTCGGGCGCATGGGCGATGTCATTGGCAGTGCCACGCTGGGGGCTGGGCTGCCGGTGCGTGTCCTGCCGGCGCTTGTCCTTGCGGTAGTAGAGGGCAGCGAAGGCCAGCACGTTGAGGAAGAGGAGGGACGCACCCACGGCAATGGTGACGCTTAGCTCGGTGGAGTAGTCGCGGGGGCTCTCAAGCAGGGTGCCCGCCTCCTGCTCTGGGGTCCACTTTTCCTTGCTGTTCTCACTGTTGTAGGCAGGCGAGATGGCGGGGCGCTTGGTCGTCCAGATCTTGCCGTTGGGCCGGCGGGTGATGTGGGAGTTCTGCGTGGTGTCGGGTGGTGGCACTTTGGTGGTGGTGGAGGTGTAGTGGAACATATCATGCAGGTTGTACAAATGGGGGACCAGGTGCTTCCAGAAAGCCACCTTGGTGGCCCGGTAATGGTCACGTACCCGTGGCTTTAGCCCGATGTGCAGGTACAGCTGGTCACGGGGGTTGTACTTGGACCAGGCCACCTCCTCAAACCGATTGGCCTTGGTGTGAATGAACTTGGTGTCCTGGGGAACAGGCTTGTTGGGGTCCCTGTGAAACACAGGCAAAACAGAGCTAGCACTGGGAAAAGCCAGAGAGGCAAGGAGGGGGAGCTGGATGCAGAGATGAAGGCTGGGCACACCTTTGCCAGTAGTGGCACAGAGTGGGCTGGCAAAAGTTCTGCGTGGCTGGGCAGCAACCCAACCCTGGGTCAAGTCTCACCCATGATAACCATGGTCAACCAACCTCCCCACCCCTGCACTTGGCTGGGTCCTGTCCCCGGGCCTGGCCATGCTTTCAGCTTCTTGATGTGTGGTTGATGCCCTGACCCCAGTGAAGGTGCAGCACACAGACCTCTGGCCATGGGAGGCTCCCACACCAGGCATGACACCCCTCCCCCCCCTCCCCCCCAGCATGATCCCAAGGGGTGCAGCTGCAGTGAGTGGGGGCACCCCATTATCTGGTACTCACCCAGTTTTTGCAAAGTTTGTCCAGTACGTCATCACCACCGCACTTAGCATGACATCATTTTTGGAAAAATTACAAGGAAATAATTCAGTAGGACCAATCATAGGGATTCCTAGTACGTAAGGAACCTCATCTCCATGGGCTGCATCTGCCCATGCAGGTACCTGATCTGTCTGGCAATGATGGTAGAAGGCATAGAAGTAGGTGGGGGAGCCATAGCGAGCGTGCAGGTCAGCCGTCACCACCGACGGCTCTACCCACTGGTGATCAGTGAAAAGAGCCACCAGAGTCTTGCGACGTGTCTCAGGGTTGTCCCTGTCGGCCCAGTCCGTGTACATGAACTTGATAGTCTCTCGCAAGGTGTCCTTGCCCTCGGGGTAGCCATACAGGTTGTCTACAAAGTTGGAGACCGAGTAGTCAAAGTCACTGCCCGAGACACCGTCCTCGGGGTCCACCACACCCTCCACAAACTTCAGCCCCTCACCCTGGTTGACCCCCAGCATGATATCATAGTTGAGGAACTCGCCCTGCTCCATCAGGATCTCTGGGTCATCCGGGATCACATCCCCATCAATGACTGGCCCAAAGGCCACATGGTAGCGAGCTGGCTGGATGTCTTGCTCCACCAGCTCCTTGGCACTCTTCTGTCGCAGGCAGTCCACCATGTCCACCGTGTCCAGCACATTGCAGCCCACTTTGTCAGCCAGCATACTGGTGTACTTCACGGGCTGGTAGTTCACCGCCCAGCTGGAGAGTGCAGAGCCGCTCTGGATGATGGCTCTCTGGAAGAGACCTGGAAGACAGGCAAGGAGCGGAGGAAGTTCACAGTGGCATGAGCAGCATTCCAACACCCCAGTGCCGCAGTGCAGGATGCAGCCTGGCGAAGGCATCGATGTCCTTGGACCCTGGCAAGGACCCAGCACTGCAGCCCCTGTCTGGCCTTGACCCGGGCTGTGATGCCTGCTGAGCCAGGCTCACATGGCGGGTCTCAGCTCAGGGCCAGCACGAGGGTGGTGAGGTGACAGCCGGGCATGCAGCGGATGCTCCTGGTGGTAACCAAGAGCTGCTGTGCTCCCCGAAGACCCCATTGCAGGGGATGGCCTGGCATCCCTCTGTCCCGGTGCGGGGAGGACAGGGGCCAGGGCTGCATCACAGCCTAGTCTCTCTGAGCAGCCCGCGCCGTCCCAGCCACCCCAAGGACGTGTTGCCTGAGCCCCTGGGGGCACACGCTGCCCCCAGCTCAGCACTGTCCTTGAACCCAGGGCAGCACTGCTTCAAGGAGCGTCCAGGCTGCAGGCTGGCAGCAGTGGGAGGGTTAATGTCTGCTTGGGGATACTTAACCCTGCATGTCCCACCCAGTCGCTTTGTCAGGGTCCCCCTCGCCCCCCTCCCTGCTGCTTCCTGCCCAGCTGGGGCTGCTCGGTGCCAATCCAGCCCCGCAGGAGCACACTGCCAGATGCACAAAGAGGGCCTTTCTGCCACTGGGAACACAGAGGGAGTGGACTTTCGCCCTGGAAAATGGGGCCACAAAGGCCCTGGCCCAGGCAGAGGAATGCGTGGCTGCGCTCCAGCCCCATGTCAATGGCGCTTGTGCTCAGAATACAAAGGGCGGCGAGGAAGCGGAGCCTCCGGGGCGGTGAAAGGCAGCCGGGCTCGGGGTGCACCCTGGGGTCCCTGCTCTCTGGCCAGCCCTCTCCTGCACCCCAAGTGCTGCCTGTGCCCTCGCTGGACTCCGGCACTCACTCGTTTCAAGGGACTGTCTCAGATGGTCCCCGAACGGTGCTGGCGCAGCAGTGTGGTGGCCACGGGCTTCCCCCACCCCCCTGAAATGCAGAGTGCCTGCGTGAGACCCCCCTGTGCAGCCAAGGCCGTTCCGCTCTGCAAAGCAGCATGCACCTTCCTGCAGCAGAAGAGTTCAGAGGCTCCTGGCTCCCAGCCACCATTTCCATAGCGCTTGTCTGCACGCACAGTCCTCGCTCTGCCAAGTACCTGACGTACAGTCCCATGCACTGGGACAAAGGGAAGTCATAAACTCTGTTTGTCATCTCCCTGTGCCCTAGAAAGCCATACCCAGCCTATGGGCTGGAGACTTGCCATGGGTTTGATTGCTCTGCGCCATCTTCCAAATGCCAAAGAGCCAGCATGGGGGTTCCCTGGCTCCCAGGAGATGCTATCCCAGCAGCAGCTACTGCTCATCACCAGCAACATTACTTCCCAGAGAGACCTACCAGGCTGGGCATTGCCCCTGCTCGCCCCTGCCTGGGGAAGCACAGGCAGCTGCTGTCACCAACAGCTGGTCACATTCCTGACAGAGCCCCTTCGCTTTGTCTCTGCACGGCCACGACCTGACCCAAGAGTCTGTAAGAGCACAGACATGTCATGCTCTCCCCCTCCATGCCAGCCCCCCGCTGAAGCCTGACAAGCACCCCAAGGAGCCGTCACCACCATGCAGCTCAGCCCGGAGCCCTCCAGCCTGCTGGGGCCCAAGCAGGAAGGTGTAGCTCTGCCTTCCCTGGCTGTTCCCCTCCGAGGTGAGGGTCCTGACTGCTCCTGCCCTGGCATGGCCAGCTGGGGAGAGAAGCAGCACTTTGGTCCTTGGTGAGGAATCCACCCGTCTACAAGAGCTGAGGCTGGCAGGGGAGCCGTGGGTCTCCCCGGCAGCCAGACACAGTGTGCGCTGTGGTCTCTGCCTCTCCCAGCACCTGGCAGAGCAGGCACAAATTAGCAGCTTCATTAATAGCTCTTGATCACTATGAGTTTTATTTTGATGGATAAAAACAAACCCGCCTGGTCTGCAGGCTGCATCTTAGCGCAGTTTCCCTGCCATGCTCCAGAGCTGCCTGCCCTGTCCCTGGCGAGATGGGTGCTCCAGCGCAGGGGTTTTTTTGAGGTCATTTTATGGCCATTTGCTTTGATGCAACACTGGCTGCAGCACCGATGCTCCTCTCCTGCCTCATGGCATTTTGGCTGGCAGCAGCTCCCCTGCCACAGCAGCGAGGGTGCTGGGCACGCAGCACCACTGTGATACAGGGGGGTCCACATTGGGGCTGGGTGGCGCAGCAAAGGATGGGGCATGCTAGTGCAGGATTTAGTGGCAGAAAGCCTAGTGTCACCTGAGAAGTGCTATACTGGCACAACAGTTAGTTTTCATGGCTGGGAATCCACCCCCAGCCTGCTCCCTCCATCCCAGGCCCATAAAAGCAGTTTTGGGCCACCTGGGCAGCCAAGCACATGGTCCTGCTTCCAAAGAGGTGTCACCATCTGGCCGTGAAAACCAATCTGCAGCCTTGGGACTGCCCTGCCAGAAGCACCCAATCCCAGAGAAGAGACTCCTGAAGAGAGAGCACCTTCCCGCGATCCCCAATTGTGTCCCAGGCACTCCCATGATGGAGAGGAGCACCCTAAGAAGCATCGCAAATGCATTACACCCAGTGTCTCCTCCCCAGCCTTTCACTGTCAGTATGGGCAGAGAAAACCCTTTTTCTTTCTGTAGGAGCGTTCATCCTGTAACAGACTTCCCACCCCTGTGCCCACACTGCCCAGCATGCCTGCACAGGGGCAGGAGGGCACGCAGAGCCCCAGCTATCCACACAGGGATGGCACGGCCTCACACAGGCCCCCGCAGCTGCAGAGCACCCCTGCCCTGCCCCCTGCTCAGGAATGAGTCTGCAAAGATCTGCCCTTGCTCCTTTCCTACACACTGTTCAATTTACCATCTAACACAAGTGAAGCATCTTCTGGCTTTAGCCATCAATAGCATCTCCTCCTGCGGGCTAGAGAGCTGTTGCCTGCCCCGCACAGCTCTGGGTAGCTGAGAATCTTACCCCAGGAGCCCCAGAAGTGGTGAGGGCAGCCTTGATCCTGCCCCACTCTGGCATGGCAACATCGGCAGCAGCTCTGTAGGTATAACTCACATTTACCATGTTCTTGAGCTTATTGTAGTCTAATACCTGTTAATATTTGTCCAGGTTACCTGAAGAGGATGGGGCAACAGCCCCAGGAGCATCCTGCTCAGGACGTGGCATGGAGGGAGCAGGATGACAGAGGGGCTGACTTCAGGCAGAAGAAAGGCACCTGGGATGGCAGGGAAAGGGGCTTACCAAGAACAGATGTGTCTTGAGTGGGCAACAGCAGCTCCATACACGCTGCCAGCACTGGATCACTTTGCCTCTATCTGCCTTTTTGCTTCTCCCTGCTTTGCTCAAACATGGCAGGACACTGGTGGCGGTGACAGCAGAGCCAGCAGGCTGCGGGGCAGTCATGGAAGACCAAGGACCACCATGGATTTAATGTGGGAGTGCCCAAGCTGCCAACTTTGGGGAAGCAGCTGCCCACCAGGTCCAGACATGCGGCTGTTGTCGGGTCTGTGGGGCAGAGTATTCCCCAGAGCTCTGGTCCTTGGGGCACCAAGGGGAGCCCAGCAGTGGGAGCAGCTGCCTTGAGAGCAGGAGCACTCTGCACAGGGTGGGTTGGTGCTGGCTGGGCCACAGGCTCCAGCACAGGAGGAGCATAGGGCACTGGTGGGCTTCAGAGACCATCGGGCATATGCCACCACTCAGGAGGCTCTGGAGCTCCTCTGCATGTTCTGATCCCATGAGCCACAGCAGCATGTCTCAGCCCCTCTGCTTCAGTTCGCCGGCACATCTGAGGATAGGCTGGCAGCCAGCTGTGACCGCTGGGCACCCTGATGGGCAGCAGGGATTGGTGCAGAGGCACGGGCATCCTGTCAGCACCACTCTTGTCCCTGGGGAAGTGCCATCAGTGGGAAGCAGAGCCCAGCATGGCGACGGGTCTCTGCATGGGGGTGGGCTCACCACAGGGCAAGTGGTTTGCCAGAATCAGCCAAGTTTAACCAAAAGGGTAGATGGAGAAATCCGGAAGAGAGCTGTTCTGGGCTTGCCTTTGACTCCGTGGTGAACTGCCAGCATCCTACGAGCCCTGTGCCAGGTCTGGGCTCAGCAGGGCTCTGCCCTTCACTCCCCACCACGAGCACAGGCTCTGCCACCTCGCCCCGCAGTCAACACCAGCCTTGTACTGCCCGCAGCACCTGCAGACCTCCACACTGAACACTACCAAGCAGACTGTGATGCTGATGCTGATGCAGCCACCTCCGCAGCAGCCTGGGCTGAGATCATTCCTGCTTGGCCAGAGGAAGGCTGCACAACTTTGCTAGCAGCCTGGGCAGTGCCAGCCTGCTCACATACACCCCTCACCATGCCATCAGCCCTGCTGAGGTTCTGAAGGTCTTCTTAATTCCTGTGTGGTTCCCAGGCTGTTGAGCATGGCTGCAGCTCTTCACAACAGCTTCAAGTGCAATTTTGTGTATGGCTCTGAGGTGCAGACTCATGCCCATGTCCACTGTCTGCATGCATCCACTTCTCCCCTGCACCATGCTTGGGGATACAGCACTGCAAAAGGGCTGCACCCTCATATAAAGCCTCTGTGGCCAAGGCCCTGGGCAGGCTGGTTCTCTGTGGACCACCTCCATTTCAGGCTTTACTCCTGTGATTTGCTTTAGGAAGTTTATCAAGAGTACCTCTACTACCATGGTTAATTATTTTTTCCCCAATGCTTCATGTAAATGTCTTTGCAGGTGGTTTACATGCATTTGGTCTTATGCCAACACAATCTTTTAGTGTAAATAATTCCTTTCTTTATCTAGAGTAAACACTCTGCTATATTTACAGTTATCAATCATATCACTTCCACCTACGCTTTGCTAGTCGCAGCACTTCCAGCTCTCGCAGTCTCGCAAGATGGGGCCCTCCATCCCTCCCCAGGCTCAGGTCTGGCTTCCCCTCCGTTCCAGTATGAATGCCTTTCCTAGCACTGAGATCCGTGCTCTTGGTGCCCTGCATGATGCCCAAAACTCCCCCCAACGCCTGCATGTGGATGAGCCCAGGCACCTGGGCAGGGTGCTGCAGCAGGGGTCCCCACCTCTCCCCATGCCCAGGTGCTGGTCACGGGCTACAGCCCCGCGTGCTGGGAGTACCAGCTCCTGTCTCCCATGTGCTCTGCTGCTGGCCTTGCCCTGCCCACAGTGAGGAGGCTTTGCTTCCCAGCCCTGGGTCAGCCTTTCACCAGTGACTAATTAAAAAGCAGCCTTAACTTTGCTACAGAGGCCAGTGGCACCCGGGCGGGCTCCCTTCCCCAGGTTAGCATCAGCAGGGCGCTCACTCACGGCCGCAGCATCCTCGGGCACAGCTGGCACCTACCTTCAGAGTGGTGGGAGAGGGTGAGCAGGCTGACGCAGGAGGCACCGATGCCAGAGCCGAAGACAGTGATCCGCAAGGGATCTCCCCCAAAGAAGGCAATGTTCTCGCTGACCCAGCGCAGCGCCTGTATCTGGTCCAGCAGCCCGTAATTGCCCTTGGCAGCCTGGTCCCCCGTGCTCAGGAATCCTGTGGGCCAAGGGGACCCCAGTTAGGGATGAGGAACGAGGGGATGTCCTGACCTCCCACCCGCATTTCCCAGGGCTAGGGGAGCTCCTATGGGACACTGTCTCACCACAACATGAGACCCCACTGCCAAGAGAGTCCTGTGAGCTCTAATCTGGAGCAAAGACAGCACCGAGCTCCAGCTACCCTCTGCATGGCAGAGGGGCGAAAGGCTGCGAGTGCAGCTGCAAGACCCAGGGAGCCTCTCCAGTCAACTGCAAGCAGTACAGAGTGATGGGCACAAAGCCCTGTCCTACCTGTACCACCACCTGTGCTAATAATGGGTCAAGACATCTCATGCCTGCTCATCCAAGAAAGCACAGGTGGCTTCGGGCAGGCTGAGTGCCTGCACAGCCAATGCTTTCCATGGACTGGCATGGCCGGAGGAGGCTCTATAAATGTAAGGAGGTGGGCTGGGCAGAGAGGAACGACTGCAGCTTAAAACACAAAGGCTCTTGGTGAGGAAGATGCTGAGAAATGCTTTCAATAGCAAAGGGAACACCCAATATAAGCTATCAGTGTTTCTTATGCTTTGATTCAAAGCGGGAACCCAAAACCATGGTCCTGAGGTAAAATCCAGGCAGGTAACCCCGGCAGGCAGGCAGCGGCGCCTGTGCTGCTCCAGCACTCGAGGTGCTCTGGCCAGACATACCGCGGCACTTCGATGGAGATGACAATGGCACCATTCTTTCGTATTGCGACTTATGTCTCTTACATTTGCACCTATCCATCTTCAAGGTCTGACTTTGAATATTGAAAGGTCTTGAATAGGCTGGGTTTTACTGAAAAGCCTGATTTCTACCAGGCAAATGCCATCTTCTCCAAGAGACTATGGAGTCCAGAGGCTGTTAGGGGGATATGCTGCCCCAGGTACCAGCACCCAGGGAAAGCACTGTGCCAGGCTGGATGGCTAGGGAGAGAGCCAGCCCTGCCAGCAGCATGGCTGGGAAGGAGCTCTCCCCAAGTCTCTGCACCCCTTGTTCTCCCTGCTGTGAAGTGAGGCAGCAGTGATGCTGCAGGCAAATCTCCCGTGTCCAGCCCCCAGGGTTTCTGCTGAACAGGAAGGGGACTGCACTGCCTTTTGACCCTGTGTCCCCATTTCACCTCTCTTGGTCACCAGTGCTCGGGACAAGACTACCACCCTCCTCTATAAGGCACGCAACACCCTTCAGTGACCCCCTCTGCAGACAGCCAGGCCGCAGTGGGTGGCTGCGGGGGTCCCGGCAGCTCAACGGGCTTGGAGGCAGCCATGCCCAGGGAGGGAGAGCTGCTGGGTCCCCCAGGGCAGCCAGGCAGTGTCCGCTGGCAGCTCACCACTCTGCGTCCTCTCAGGAGGAGATGCTGGGTAAACACGTTCATTATTTATTTAACCACAGACCAATATTTGATTTCAGCTGAGCCAGGCTGTGTAAATGAGCCTGAGGGGGGATAGTGCCAGGAGCCAGACCACACTGTGACCACCGGCTGGGGCACTGCCACGTGGCACCCGGCTCAGTGGCCAGGGCAGAAGGCAGTGGCAGCACCCACAGTGCAGCTCCTCCGATCTCCATGCCCCCCACTGCCCTCTTTCCAGCTGCTTCAAGACTGGTTGGCTGTGCGGGGCTCATCCCACTGCCTGGTCGTGCTGCCTGCACAGCCCACGCCGGCCAGCCCATACCGAGCACTCCAACGCGGTAGTTCAGGGTGATGACAATCACATTCCCGTAGCTGGCCAGGACGCTGCCGTCTATCATGTTCCCCGTGCCCTCCATGTACGAGCCACCATGGATATACACCATCACCGGCTTGGCCCCGCTGTCTCGGATGTCTGGAAGGAGAGGCAGTTAAACACAAGACCCCAGTGATGACCGCAGCACCCTGCCCGACAGGCAGACCAAGGACAAGGGCAATGCCAGCTGCCAGGCCCGGGGAAGGGGTCTTAGGAGCCAAACCCAGACCTCTCCTGGGGGCCACAGCATAGCCCTCCAAAGCTGACCACCACTGAACCAACCCTGCCAGCCCTTCTCCGGGTGGCAGCAGTCGCTGTGCCATCCCCACACTGCTGTCCCCTTGGGGGTCTCAGCACATGTGGGAGAGATGCTGGCTGGACGCAGCTGCTCTTCCCTGGAACCGGGCTCTGGCCGCTTGCAGAAGCCAGACCAGCGGCACCTCCGTTGTGGGTGGGAGTTGCAGAGTCCAGCCCCAGGATGCAGCCCCATGTCCCATCTTTGGCTGGACCCAAGCCCTTGGCTCCAGGAGTCCTGGAAGCTGGCATTGCGGGGGGCAGGGATGGGGGTGTGCAGGACCTGGAAGGCAGGGGGGCATTGGTGGGTGCTACAACATCTGACTCTCCCACCCCCCCATTTCCCATCCCTCTGGGAAGGCAGAAACCTGCTGGCTGCCTGGATGTGAACCCATGGCACCCCAGTGCCCAGACACAGACATGGTGATGAGGCAGACAGTGTGTGCACATGTGCATGTCAGGGAGGTGAGCACGGCATCCGGATGAGGACCGGGCATGAGGCATGGAGTGAGGATGGGGAATGGGATCCCGAGGGCTGGGGAAGAAGGACTGTGGGAGCCTAGGGGACAGGGAGCAGCCATGCTCCCTCTCTCAACTGGCCCTGTCCAGGAGACATCCTGCCCCTTCTGCTCCATTGGTCTGGAAACCCTCATGGAGCTGAGCCCAGGCACGAGGGGAGAACACCCATGTTCGGCTCCTGGTATATCTCACCCATGCCACACGGAAGAGGTGGTTGTGCCTGTTGTGGAGATAGTGCCAGGTCCCACATGCCTGTGGTGTCCAGCCCTTTCCTGGGCCAGCGAGCCAGCACCGACGGACTTTGTCCTCCTTTGTGCTCACCCGCACCCAGAGCCTTGCTCTGTTGTGCTGGCATCGGGGGCTGCTCGTCCTCAGCTGCCCCGGCCAGCTGTGGCACCCTTCCTGCCTCCCTCGCCAGTGCACCACGCCGTCCCGGCAGCCAGCCCTTGCCATGGTCCCCACAGGGCTGAGACTCCCGGGGCACAGCCACACCACCTCAGCAGGGATGCCCAGTCGGGGTGGACATGCTCCCTCGCACCCAACTAACCCCTGCCCATGTCCACTCCTCCATGCGGCTTCCCCATAGCAGGGGGCTGCAGGGCAGGCTGATGGGTACTTCTGGCCATCCCCACCTCCAGCTGTGGCCCGTGGCATGGCTAAGGGTGGCCTCTCCTCCCTATAGAAAAACTCTTCCCTCCAGGAGAATGAGGATATAGCAAAACCTGTGCCGGCTCTTTTCCTGTCGCCAGACTGCAGCCAGGCAAATGTACAGACCTGGGAAGCAAAAAGCGCTCACGGCTCCTCTGCATCAGACATCGCCTGTGCAGCAGAGCTACAGCAGGACAACTGTTCCCAGGGCCACCTGCTTCAAATGCAAAAGGCAGCCACATCAGTGCCTATGCCTGTGTCCTCTCCTCCCTGACACGCGCTCCCACCGACACACAAAGGGACATCCTCGCAGCAGAATGGCAGCAATGTGCGGAGACGTACCTGGGAATAAATGGCTCCTAATGGCTGCAGCACATTTTAGTGTGCGGGGATTTAGCACAGTGAAGTCACTTAGGCTGAAGGCCAGTTTAGGCCCTGGTACAAGAGATCCTGCGGCACAGGTTAGCAGGAGAAAACAATGGGGTTTTGCTACTGCCAAGGAAAAAGCTTTTCATCTGTTTCCCAGAGCCTAAACACCATCTGCCAGGCCGTGCTCAAGCTGCCCTGAGATTCCCGCACACCATGAGGTTTTACTGTCCTCGCCATGTTAGGGCTGCACCCTGGCCGGCCCTTCCTCCTGCCTCCTCTTCACATCCCTGCAGCCAAACACACCGACTCCACGCCCTGCAGATGAACAACCCTGTTTTACTAAAAATAGCTTATTCTGCAGCTTGCTTAGCCCTGGCATACATCTAGAATCACATCTGCTTGAAAGTCCACTCGCTCTGCCTCGGCTGGTGCTCATGTTCTTGTTGCAAGCAAGACCTTGCTCGCATTGGGTGGAGAAGGAGAGAAGTTAACAGAAGCCATGTCTGAGCAGACCTTGGGTCTCCTGGGCATGGCCAGGTACCTTGCGGGTGCCAAGGGTGCCAAGCTGCTGGCATGGCCATGCTGCAGTGCTACCTGCAGTGAGGCCGGGCAAGGGTGGAGGGGGAAGGTGCTGGCTCCCAGCTGCATGTCACCGACTCTGGAGGGATGAGGCTGGAGGTGGGATGTGACCGGGCTCGGGGTGAAATGGGCCCAGGTGCCCGAAGGCTGCTCTCCTCCCAAGCTGCCATGCTTCCTCCCTGCCCTCGCTCAAGCGGAGCAGGAGCAAACTTCTCTTAAAGCAAAAAAATCCCCAAGAGCTTCTCTCCCCCCATCCTGAGGAGGTGAA